AAACTATTGTTTGAAGCAAGGTACAATTCCCCTATGATGAATGCTATCACTATGTATATATAAAATATACCAATAAAAAATTCAAGGAAAAAAAAGAATTTATTATAGCATCACAATGAAAAAAAAAACCAACAATAAAGTGTTGAGGTAATTGTTTACACACATAGAATTACCTATAGACACCAGACCACATTTTATAAGTATGCCTGTCTTTAATAAAATAGAAGGGGTTTTCTTGTTAAAAAAAAAATCTGAAGTAATCTGCTCAGATTAAGTGTGCAAAAACAGAAACAAAAACACCCATTTCCCTTTGAGAGCACTTTGTCCTTGAAGAGCACATGCAGGTGGGTGGTCAGTGCTTCAGCCATGGTAGGCCTGGATGGACACCTTGCTACAGTCCCTGTAGTCACAGAGCAGCTCCTTCCCAGCTGCAATGTCATGGGAGGCAATGAGGATGAGGTGCGACATGCCATTGGTCTGCAGTTTGGTCTGGCAGTTCCCGCGCTTTCTGTGGTTGATCAGCTGGCCTGGGTGGTTCGTTTCCCTTGTGGCATCCACACACTAGGTTTTGCTGAGATAGTGAAAGTAGTACATGTACAGCCCGTGGAGGGGTCTTGTGCATACAGAGCCTTTCCCTACTTGGCATCAGTGATCTCGATGAGGTCCCCACGGTACTCTACCACGAAGTCACCCTGGGAGAACTGTTTGGTGATGATCACACCCTGCCTTTGCCATCAATGAGTTCAATCTTCATGCCTTCCTCCTTCCTGCTCTTGATCAAATCATTGATTCTTTTCCTTTCTTCTGACTGCAACTCGGCTCTGCTTTTCCTGGAACTTCTCTGGACCGGGTAGAAGTCCATGAGTTTGCGATTCTGTTCTGTTTTCCCTTGAGCTTTTTTCCGAAGTGGCTGTTTGTGCTTGAGAAGCATTTTCATTTCTTGTTTGGTGATGGCTGCATTGGTAGAATCAGAAGACAAGGTTGGAGTTTTTAGAGGTTCAGCTGCTTCAGATTTTTGGTTTGGAAAAGAGGCCAGGGGACCTTTCCTGGCGTCTTTGAGTTTCTGTTGGCCAGAGGGTCTCATCCACTTCTTCCCGCCTCCCCATGTCCTGCTCCTCCTGCCCAGCAGGATTGCCCAGGTGGCAGCCTGGTCGCTTACCCTGCTCCCCTCCCTGTCCATCTTACTCGACGGTCAAGACGTGGGCCTGCAGCTGCCAAAGCATTTCCAGGAAATGTTATCTGCTGCGGAAGCTGAAGCAGAGCTTAGGCTACAGACACAGAACTGAGGTGACAACTGGCCACTCGGCACTGCAGCACACCTGACCCCTGCCCATGCCCCACACTAGTCCTCCAGGTCTCTTCAGCCACTGGTGGCCAGGGACGCTGGCCTCTTCCCAGGAGAAAGACCTTGGTACGGACCACAGGGCTGTGAGGCCACCATGGTATTTCCACATCCTGTGTTACCCACTGCCACAGTGTGAGGACCTCTGGCACCTGGAGCTGTCCTGAAGAGCTGGAATTGGAAGACCAGGAAGGATGGAGGGATCAAGTTGATTCCACCCAGGACCTTGGAAATAGGCTACATCCCCAGGCTATGGTTTGTCTGTTTCTTTTGATTTGGAGTTTGTTTCTGTTTGGCACAAGGCCCTTGTCAGATGCCCAGGCTGGACATGAACTCGTGATCCTCCTGCCTCATCCTTCCACACAGCAGAGATTACTGAGCATGGTCCATAGCCCCACTTGCTCAGGCATCTTCAAATGGTCACCTTTTGGATATGAAGACGTATAAGAATAAAATACTGCTAGAGGCTTGCCTTGCAGATGAGACCCTGGCCACCATCTGTAGCTCAACCTCCAGCAAAATGTGACATTAAAAAACAAAACAGTATGTTGTTCCCTTGCTTAGTGCAGTTTCCCCAGATCCGCATGGAACTCACTTGTCACCTACTTCCTCAGCCGGTAACTCGCTGCTTAAAAGTATGACTGGACAGCCAAGCATGGTGGCAAAGCCCAGAACGCCAGCACTTCTGAGGCACAGGGAAGAAGGTCATCTCGAGGTTCAGGCCAACTTGGGCTGTATAGTGTGTTCAAGTGCAGCCTGACCTAGAGGGCCTGAGCCTGTCTCAGAAAACAAGCAAAGGAAAGGTAGAGTGTAGACAGGAAAGTCTCTGAGGTGAACAGCCATTCAAAGCAGACTATAGTGTAGAAAATGTACCAAATGACATCAGCAACAGAAGGCACTCCATTCAAGTAAGTGGCTTCCTCACACATCAGGTCCCTGACTGCAGAATGCCGGCTGACCTTGCAGCCCTGACCTGTGACACCGCATCAGCAAAGAGCCCAGGTAGCCCCTGACTCCCCTCCCACTTTTGTCACTGCCTGGGACCCACGTGAGTATGGACTCAGACACAGTAGGGTGACATCCAAATTAGTTGCTTAAAGAAACCATACAGCTCATGAAATCGAAAAAGTGTTTTCTGTTTTTTTTCTTATTTTTCTATTTTTTTCTTTGTTTCATTTTTTTTAATGTAGATAGCACAGTGTTTACAGGATCTCACTACCTAGAAGGGACTCGGTGGGATCCTCCCCTTTGCAGCACAGGATTACAGGCGCCTGCCACCAGGCCCAGTCTCAATCCCCATCTGGGCAGTCCCCGGGGGCAGGGCGTGCAGTGCACACCAGCAATGGAACCCTGGTCCCTGCGCTCTGCCTTACCAGGGGCTTTGGTGCGCTGAGCGCTCTGACCGGCCCTACTTGTGCTGAGAAATAACTTTTGGAAACAGGTCAGGCGGTCAGTAGTCCAAAGTTGCCTAGGATGCTGAAGGAACCCGGTGCCGTGCAGCTGCAGGGCACCTCTGGTCCACCTTGGACAGTAGGTCCCCAGATGACCACAGTGTTCTTTGGGGATCCTCCACTCTGGGCTCCTGGGGAACTCGGGCAGACCCACCTAAGCCCGTTTTCGGCCTCCCTTCAGGCTGACGTGATTATATCAAGAAGTTCGCATTGATTTTCCTACCGAAGCTTTCCCATTGCGCACAGCTCTGAAGGCAGTGCAGAGATGTCAGGGTTGATCAGGGAACTGAACCCTCCTTCACTCTGGAGTCCCCTGACCCCTGACCCTGCCTCAAGGGATCCCCTCCGGGGGCATCCGCATCCACTTCCGCTCCCGCCTCCTCCCAGGCCTCCTTCCCCTGGCCCTCAGACTAGCAGCGCCTTCCTTCTTCAGCTGGGCCGCCCGGCAGGCCGCTGCCTGTTGACCTGCTGGCGGTGCTCTGGGAGCTGCGAGGGCCCGGGGCCTCTCCAGGCATGTCCCGCCCACGCGGCACCTGCCCTCCTGCGGGCGCCTGCGCAGGAGCCTCGGCCTTCCCGGCTTCCTTCCCGGCCTCCTTCGCCGGCTCGCTGCTCCGGGTGTCCGCCATGGCTGCCGCACCAACGCACCTCCCACAGAGTGACCCCTTGGACTGTGAGGCCTCAGTCAACGCCCACGTCGAGGAGCAGCTCTCCACCTCCTACCTCTACCTGGCCATGGCCGTTTTCTGCCACCGCCCAGAGGTGGCTCTGAAGCACTTCTCGAGCTTCTTCCTTCGCTACTTTGACTGCTGGGCAGAGCTCACCCAGCAACTCATGGCCACGCAGACCCAAAGAGGTGGGCGTGTGATCCTCGGAGACATGGAGCAGCCCGAGACCAGTGAGTGGCGTGGCGGCCTCCATGCCATGGAGTGTGTCTTCCATCTGGAGAAGAGCGTCAACCAGGGCCTCCTGGAGCTTCACCAGCTGGCGGCCAGCAAGAGGGACCCCCACTTGGCCAGCTTCCTGCAGTACCACTACCTGAGACCCTAGGCTCAGGTCCTCAAGGAGATGGGCGAGCACGTGACCAACCTTTGCAAGCTGGAGGCTCAGGGCATGGATGTGGCCGACTACACCTTTGACAGGCTCACCCTGGGGGCAGGTGCCCAGAATCGCTGAGCATGGACTGTGACCAGGACGCTGGGCCCCTGCCAGGGCCTGCACTCTTCCAGGTCACCGTGTTCATTTCAGCTCTTTCCTTTTGGTTGGCTGCGTGTGTCCAACAGATTACTTGGTTGTTCAGGCCACAAAGGTGTCAGGATGATTCACGTTTCCAGAAGCCTCAACTTTGGTAATTCAGTGCAGATCCCCAGTGTAAGTACGAAGTGAGCACGGAGGAAACCTCTCCCAACCTCCCCCGCCCTCGCAGCCCGAGCCACGGGCAGCTCAGGGTCCGCACAGCTGTGGCAGGCCAAGGGTGCTCCATGGGGCTTTGGAAAACGCCTTTAGTCTTCCCACCTCAGCTCTGTGGGCTTGTGGAGTGGGGTGGACTGGGGGTTCTGGGGCCTTGGTATGTGCACACCAGAAAAGTGTGAAAACCTGCTGCGTGGAGCGTAAGGAAGGAAGTGAGATTGTGCTGTATTCAAGAGAAGGGGTCCCAGGCACCTGAACTGGTGGTGCATTGGGAAAGAGTGCTTGCCTAACACGTGACTCCGTGGGAGAGATTCTCAGAACCTGAGCTTTGCAACCGGTCAGTCAGTCAATCACCCAATCAATGGATAGATTGCTCTCTCCCTACCCAGAGTGGTTTTAGTTTATTATCCCATAACAAAATGTCAGGGTCTCTTGAGTCTAGGAACAAGACACAGGGTTTGGAAGAGGCCAGTACAGAGAACTTTGACCAAGTCCATGGGAATGTTCTGGCTCATGGGCCTCAGTCTTCGCCTGGCTTATTGGCCACAGCCCCAGAGTGAGTGACTGTGAAGTCCAGGGTGTGGGACACATACTGCCCTATGATCATTGCATTTCTGGTTTGCTTTCCTGTGCTCCTATTTGACCCATTCATGTGACCTGTACAAAAAGCCTATGTCCCTTTATGAATAGTGATGCATGAAAATCTTGAGGCCAAGGATTGCAAAGATGTTGGTGATAGGCAAAATCAGAGTAAACTCCCTAAATTTGAAGTCTGTGACTGCAGCTGCTTTGAAAAATGTAGAATGGTTCTGAGACCTGAACGAGGCCGAACAATGAGGTCTTAGCTTATGAGTAGCTGCCTTTTCCTGAGACAGAGACAGAGATAGAGACAGAGACAGGGACAAAGACAGGGACAGAAAGAGACAGAGAGTGAGATTGAGAGAGACGAAGAAACAGAGACCTTTATTAAGAGCACTATTCTTATAGTATGGGAACCCCACCTGTATAACTATAATAATCTGAAGTTCCTTCATTTGAAAGGGCTAAGTTTTATTTGCTATGGAGTTACAGAAGAAATCTTTAAAATGTTTCCTGTTTCTAAAGGCAACTTAGCAGTGTCTTCTTGTGTGTTATGCTCCCACATCGGGTCGTATTATATTTTTAAATTTACTCATGTCTTTGGAGTTTATCTTGGAGGAGGTATAATGATTGATTGATATATTGGCTCAACTTGAGAGGTTTAGAAGTTTGCCTCAGTCGGAACCTCAGCCTTACTTGTTAAACCTCCTGATCTTGGGAGAGAGGAGAGCAGGAGGTGGTGTGTACCCTGAGCAGGCATACAAAGTCGGGGAGGAAAAGAGGCTTGCTCTCCCCTCTCTTTTTGCTGTCTTCTGCTGCCTTTCACTGTTGCCCCTGTTCCATGCCATCCTGCCTTGGAGCCAGCAGATTATGGGCTAATGCATTCACCTGTTATGAGATAAATAAACCTTTCCTTCCTTAATTATGGGCATCAGTCATTTTGTCTCAGCAAGGAGAGAAATGTAACCAAGACAGGAATAAAAGCCAGTTTAGTATAAAAATGTAACCCCAAAGGGGTGACTGAACAACTCAGCTGAATAAAGTGCCTGCAAGCAGGCGCAGGGGCTGGGGGTTTCATCCCCCTACCTGCTGGGCCAGCCCCGCCCCCGGGGCATGCTGAGATGGCCATACGGTTATATGTAGAAGATGGGTAAGGCAGTGATCCTGAGAATCTCCAGAAGATTTGTGAATCTAGCAGTTAATTGGAAAGATTTTCACCCTGACTAACTATATATACTGACACCTGTGAACTAAGCAACTGCACTGAAGATGGTAATCTGTAATAGTAGGTTCATGCTTGCAGTGCCTGTCATTCTGGTATTCTGAATATGGGGTGCTTTTCATGACATGCTGGTTGCTGCTGTGCTGTCTCTCGGGTAGATGATTGTTTAAAAAGAAGGGGATGGTGAATGAAGGCAAGAGACAGGAAAAGGAATGTTGTGGGACTGTCCAACTTCAAGGTTGTATATGGTTAGATTTCTGAGCTTATGTGTAAACATAAGAATTATATAATTCTTTATGCTTATTTTTAAAATATATTCTAATTTTTAAATGTTTTTTCATCATATTCTGTAGGGACTTAAAGTTCAACATATCAATACTTGATGAGATGGCAATTGAGATGGCGTGTGGTGGCGCCGCGCCTGTAATCCCAGCTCTTGGGAGTCTGATCTAGTAGTGAGATCCTGAACACACTGTAGACTCTTCCCTAAAATATTAAAAAGAAAAAAATAAAAAAAATAAAAATGTTACCCAAGAGCTAATGGACATTTTTGGTAAAATAATCTGCGAGATATTGAGAATTGATGCAAGGCCGTTTACACATTTGAAGAAGCCAGAGAAGCTGTTCAAACCTACAAAAACTGTACGTACATTGGCAATTTAAAACACTCTTACAAATTTGCATACTCATTCTGTTGTGTTAGGAATAGAACCCAGAGCCTTGGCACTGAGCTACAGCCTCTGGCCTTTTTTCTTTTCTTTTTCAATCCTTTAATCTAGTTTCTTACACACTTGGTCTTCTTTCCTTTTTTTTCTTTCTAATGTGGAATAAGATGCTATTTAATCTTTTTTTTTTCAACAAATAACACACTGCATATATTCTTCTTAGTGGTTAATTGCTGTACAAGATGCGGACTTGAGATCCTATTTACAAACACCATTAGAACAAATCATTCTATTCATTAAGAGAACGCAACTATATATCTATCCTAACCACTTTGAATACACAGATACAAAATGGACATTCATCGGTATACCCCATTTTTTCTAAGTTCTGTTGTTGAATATTATAGGTGTGTAAACTCAGCAAAATATTCTAAAAGAGTCCAGTAGCCCATAATAGCATTGGGTCTTCTGTTTAACTGGCAATGTCAGAAATTATTGACTTGAGTCTCCCACAGCTCAACATAACAGCATGGCTTTACTTCCTATATTTCGTCTTCATACTTTTCTACTGGATGGTTAAGACCAAGGTAAAGCAGGACCTGTGCAATAAGAGTTGTAGTTTTTTGGTCTGAGAAGGTCAGTGAAATGCCCTCAGGATTTATTCTGAAATCCTGTACCTCAGATTGTAGAACCTTTGTCAGTGCAGCCATGTGGATGAGTCACGGCCATTGCTTGGCCAATGTGCTCTCTGTGAAAGCCTGAGAAAGTGTTTTCTCCCCATGTGACTCTCCTTAGGTACACTCTATGTCATTGATCACTTTCCTCTTTGGCCCCATAATCTTCTTGATCAGAAAATTTGGGACACTACCGAGGTACATGACGTTACAGTACAAGTTCTCATATGTCCTGAGTCTTAATTGACCTTAGAAGTTTAGTGGCCTTTTTGTTTTTTAAAGACAGGGTGTACCTATTCGGATCAAGCTGGCCTTGAACTCACTTCATAGCCCAGGCTGGCTTGAACTCCTAGAGTTTATCCTGTTTAAACCTCCCTCCTGAGTGCTGAGGCTACAGGAATGTGCTACCATCACTGGTTCCAAGTCCTTTTTGATGTTGACACAGGATCTGCACAGATTGCCCAGGGTAGACTTGAAGTTGCAATACTCCTGCTTCAAGCTTCCTAGACTGCTGAGATTACAGGGTGCCTATGTTTTTGGTTTAGCTGCTGTGTGGTTGCATAACATGGTACATGTTTATATTTTCAACATTTATTACTGTAAAGCACATATGGCCAATAATTCCTGTCTTACTTATATTTATATTGCTGTGATGCAATTCTGTGTACCCAAAATTCACAGGAGGAAAAGTTTCTTTTGGCCCGCAGTTTGTAGGGGCTGCAGTCTGTACACAGCTGGCTGGGAGGAACAGTGGCATGGCAGTGGGCATTGTAAGCAGGAAGCAGCAGCCACCAAAGGAGGAGAGATATTGTCCCTACATCACTCTTCCAGGCCACACCCACACTGGCTCACCTCTTTCCAGCAAGCCTCACCTCTCAACAGCAGACCCAGACAGAAACTCATGTGGGGACTAAAGCAGGGTCACACTCCCAGGAGCCCATCACCTCCCACAAGCACTATCCAAGGACACATGAGACTTTTTTTTTTCCTAACCCTAACCCTAACCCTAACCCTAACCCTAACCCTAACCCTAACCCTAACCCTAACCGGCACATGAGACTTTGAGGGTGCATTTCGATACAGTATCAGCCATAGTATAAGTTTTAAAAAATATATTAAAAGATACATTGCCTTTAACCCTCCTGCCAACTCAGCTTCAAATACAATCATGCCATCATTCTTGCCACTTTCTGAAACAGTTCTGCAAGCTCTTCTTCATGGATATCTTTATGAGGTCTGATAAAAAATACAACGGATGCTCCTGCCAACTGCCATGCAACAGAAAACGTTACAGGGTGTCCTCATCCACCTCCTTCACCAGATCTGGCACTGTGTAGCTGCTTGCTCAGCCTCAAAGTTAAAATGGAAGGTGAATAATTTTAATTGATTCGGGCAAGAAAAAGGACTTCTAGATCTGCTTCAGCAAATAGCAAGAATGATGCTATAAGCATATTTGAAGTAAAGGGTAGTAAGCTGAAGAGGATTACTATGCCTGATACT